GGGAGCTCCCTGCGGAACCCCAGGAATTAACCGTCGCCGTGGCTCAGACTCTGGCGGGTGGAAAGAACCGAAAGGTTTACCTGCAGAGCGCGAGGCAGCAGCCTTGAGAAGGGCCAGCCTGTCCAACAAAGCACAGCGGATGCCAGCGGGAGAAAAACTGCCACCTGCCCGCTGCCAAGGCTGCATCTCTTCATTCACCTGGAGGTGCTGTCGCCGCCGCAAGGTGGCTCAGAAGCTGCCTCGAATCTCCAGACGTTCCCAGAGCAAATCTCAGGAGTGAAATGGCCCTGGGTTTATGGAAAGGACTCCAGGTGTTCTTATTTGGGGACCAGAAGCCTGCTGGGGTGACCCGACGTCCTGGCGCGGCGTGGCCTACACTGCCATCATGGGCGGTGTCTTTGGCTGTGACTTCGAACCTGGTCAAACCATGTGACCCCTGAGAGTGCTGGGAACAAGCTCAAATCTCCCTGAACTCAAGGTCCCCAGCATCGAGAGAAGCGTCCAGAACCCACTGCGCCTGACACCAAGAGAGGCGTCCAGCACCCACCGCGCCTGAGGGTTGGTCCCAGAACTTCCAGGAACTCAGGCAGCACCTGCTCCGGCTGGCGAGGCGAGCGCCTGTGACGCATTTCCTAAATCGTGTGCTTTGTTTTTATCAATAAAAAGACATGTTCACAGAAAACAAACAAAACAAACAAACAAAACGAAGCACAGCAGAGAATACAACGAAGACGCAGGGTGTGCCTGCTCCTCCCTCCAGGGGTGCCCGCGGGTTCGGTGCCCAGAGGCTCCTCTGGGCTTTTCTGGTGCCTACTTACAGTTAACGATGAAATGACACAGATCTGTTTGTTTATTTATTTATTAGTGTTATTTTTTTGAGACAGAGTCTCACTCTGTTGTCCAGGCTGGAGTGCAGTGGCACAATACCAGCTCACTACAACCTCCGACTCCCCAGTTCAAGCAGTTCTCCTGCCTCAGCCTCCCTAGTAGCTGGGATTATAGGTGTGAGCCACCCACCACGCCTGGCTAATTTTTGTATTTCTAGTAGAGACGGGGTTTCACCATGTTGGCCAGGCTGGTCTCAAACTCCTGACCTCAAGTGATCCACCTGCCTGGGGGACCGACCCTGGGACGTGGCCCGTGCACACCTCCTCCTGCGTCCTCTCCTGGAGTGGGCGCCCCCATCTCCCAAGGGAATGTGAAATCTGGGCACCGGGAGCATTTGCACCTGGGAGGGCAGGTTCAGGGCCCTGGGAGAAGCCAAACAAGCAGCATTGTCTGGACAGGAGGCGCAGTCTGGCTGGGAAAAGTGGATTAATTCAGATTAATTGAGCTCAACTCAGTCAGGGATGGCAGAGGCCAGGACGGACCGGGCCCCTTCCCCAGCTCCCATGTCCCTGCCCATCAGTTCCCCCGTCCTCCCTGACCCCCTGACTGCCTTCACTGGCCCCCACAACTCCACCGGCCCCCACCCCTCCCCGCCAGTCCCGTCTTCCTATTAGACGCCCTTTGACTCCAGGGCCTGAAGCATTTCCAGAACCAACCATCACTGGGAAGGCCGCGCCCCTCTAGGATGGCTGCGTGGGCAGCCTCAGGCTGTGGGTCAGGGACCTGTGACCCTGGGCAGGGGGTGCCAGACCCAACTGTGGTGGGAAAGCTGCAGGCCGCCCGGCCTCAGGGCACCTGCCCAGACGAGGACCCAGAGCAGTGGCTGTCCTCCCAGCCCTGCCCTGGAGACGCTGACTCACCTGAAGCCTCAAGGCCTCAGGCCCCAGATCTGCCTCCGACTCCCACGCCAGACAAGCCGCAGTTCCCTTGGCTGAAAGTGGAGGCTGGGGTGGGGGCAACGCTCCAGTCACAGATGGAGTTTCTATTAAGCTGATGCAGGTAGAATGGCCGGGGAGGGGCGGCTTGGCCAGGGGGCCTCACACAGCAGCTGCGTTCCCCAAAAGTCAGAGGCCACTCCCCAGGCAGGGGATGCCCTGGGACAAGTGTCCCGTCCTGGATAAACCCTCTCACGTGTGCTGCTAGCGTGAAGGCTCTGGAGACGATGCCCTCGCGAGCCTGGACACGTTGGGGACGGTGGGCGACCCCTTCACTCTCGTCTGAAACCATCTTCTTGTGGGGACCCTGCCCTGGGCTCCCCATCCAGAGACCATTTTCTCCTCACAGACTCGCCCCCACCTGTGTGCCCCCCGGTGAGGCCCTGGGGGGGTTCCGCTGCAGGGAGAAGGAGCCACCTCTGCTGTCCCCCGTGTCTGGTGGCTTCCTCCCCACTTTTGGGTCTTCCCAGCGACCCACACGGTGTTCTGATGGCAGCCCTGGCTCCCCCACAGCTCCTGGGCAGAGGGCACCTCCACTGGCACCGCGCGGTGACCCAGCACAGGCTGGCAGCCTCTGATCACACCTGTGACCCCGGTGTTGGCACTTCCCTGCCCGCGTTCACTGCAAGCCCAGCTCCCATCTGAGCTCTGTCCGCCAGTGGACCTCAACCAAGACCCAGGAGAAATGGACAAAGAAGTGACACCCCGAGAACTCAGAGCACCCCGCAGGGCGGGGCACAGACGGTCCCGAGCTGCAGCTGTCCCACGCTCGGCTTCTGTTACGCAGACGCGGCCACCGAGGCCACTGGGCACCCAGGGCCTGGGCTTCTGTGAAGGCCTGGATAGGAGGGGCCCCGAGGACCTGCAGAGACGCCCATCATCAGGGGGCACCCATCGTGGGGAGGCACTGGCTGTGGCACCACACGACCCCTCGCCCGCCCGGGGGCCCTCACCCACCAGGAATCCCCCACACAGCGCCGTGGCCCAGCCTGGAGTGGCGCCAGGAGCCAGCCCCTCCGGAAGCCCCCTTGGCCGACGCTGGTCCGATCTCATCCTCGGATCACAGCCAGGGCGCCGGAACAGGCTCCTGACACAAATCTCCAAGGGCTCAGCACTCAATTAGTGCGTGCGCCACGTGGCCAGATGCCCAAGAGGCCCCGGGAGAGAGCTCATTACGCCGGCTGCACATCTGGTGCCCCAGAGCCCTGGGGAATTAGCTCTGGGTGTGATTTACAGCCATGTCTCCTTGTCCTTTCCTGAAGGAGACAAGATTCTTGGGACCCCAGAGAAGAGCGTTTCTGAGGTGATGCGTGGCTGTCCCACAGGCGGCGTGGCCCCTCCACCTCGGCAGCCACGGTGGCCGGCCTGCTCCTGGGGAGTCTCCTCCAGTGACTGAGGGGGACTCAGTCACCCCCAGCCGGCTCTTGTGCCCACAGGTGGGAGGGCGGCTTCCTGAGTGGGCGCTGATGTCCTCAAGGGACAGTGTTGCCCCGGGGCCTCCCCAGCCAGAGCCCGCGGCGACTGTGTGCTGGCCGCTGCAGGGGCGAAGAGCCCTTTCTGGCCCAGCTTGTTGGGGACTGTGGGGGCCCAGGTGGCCAAAGGTCTCCAGCTGAGGGCCAGGTGCCTCCAGAGGCAGAGGCCCCTTGGAGGGCCGCTCACCAGCTGTGGGCTCCAGTGAGCTCCTCCAGGCACAGGCATCCAGCGTCCTTGTCCCGGGGATCATGCAGGACCCAGGAGGGGAGGCGGAGCTGTTCCCCTGGGGGCTGTGGGACACCCACGTGAAGACGGGGAGGTCCCGGGCAGTGCACCCCGGGTGGCAGCACAGATGTAGGGTTCTCAGTGCCCACCAGGGAGCCAAGAGGGCCCTAGAGGTGTCTGTCACCCAGCAGGGCTGCTGACCCAGGGGAGGTCCTGAGGATGGGCCCGGAAGGAGAGGAAGAAAAATGAGCGACAGACAGGGAGGAGCTGCGCCTGCAGCCCAGAGGGTGGGGACAACGCAGGTGGGCGTCAGGGCCGAAGTCACACGGCCAGAAACCTGAGCGGTGCCAACAGACGGGGCAGCTCAGCTCGGGACCAAGGAGCTTGGGACGTGCCTTTCTTTCTAAGAACTTCACCTGAGAAGTGAGTGAAGATGACGGATTCTATCAGCGGAAAGCGGGGGCACTTGCACGGGGCAGCTCCCAGCAGCCAAGGGTCCCAGGGATGTGTCCCCAAAGCACGACCACCAGGGAGAAGAGAAGCAGCCTGCCGGGTATAGACGCCGCACCTATACAGTTCCTGGACCCAGTGTAGACGCTGCACCCACAC